GGCATCAAAATTGGGTCAAAGTTACTGGCGACCATCTTACTTTCCCAGGTGGCGGCACGCAGTTCAAGAATGGAGCTCTCCACTATATTGACTTCATCCAAGATGTTAGTTCTTATGCTCCCACCATCCCAAATTATAAGGGAAATTTACTTAAGTGCTCGTATTTTTTCAAAGTATTCCCTTAAATAGGAATAATGGATCTAGATGTTCAAATCATTTTAAATATGAAACGGTAGAAATGATGAATTGGAAACAATACAGTGTTAGTCATTTTTAAATTAGGAAAGCAAACATTACTGTTGAACATAGTCAAAATGAACATACGGAACGTCAACATAGGACAGAGAGAATGTGCTCTTGAAATTTTCCTTTCCTCTATTTTTATGTACAAGGCCTAGTATCAACAGGTGATTCGTAAATAATAACGCACGCTTTACGATAAATCTTTTCTTTTTTTCTCCTTTTCCTATTTGCCTTCTTTGAACAGACAGATTACTGAAGTCATAATGACTTCTATGTTGGGGTTTTTTTACACGCAGGAAGGGATATGGGCTGCACTGATTCATCTAACAAGCTATAACTTTGTCAATGTTTTTCCACAAAACACTGAATTTATTTACCAAATGGAAGCATACTAAAACACACATGATAAAACACATTCAAGAATATTTCTGACATTGCTATCAGAATGTTGATTTTAGGCAGTAATTTTCATGTTGCCTTTGTGTATCCTCTTTGTTGTCTCAGAAAGTAATTTTTTAAGACATTAGTTACATAGCCTATGATTATCTTATGACCATTTCCAACATAATGATTGATCTGAAGCTTCATAGAACAGAGTGTTGCTGGATAACTTATTTCTGGCTCATGTCTTGAACCCAAAGTTCTTTCTGGCAATGCAGTCACTCAAAAACATTTCATGGGGAAAAAGAACCCGTGTTATTCTGGATGTTGGTTGTGGAGTAGCCAGTTTCGGGGGGTACCTTTTTGAGAGAGATGTACTTGCAATGTCTCTTGCTCCAAAGGACGAGCATGAAGCACAAGTACAATTTGCGCTTGAAAGAGGTATTCCTGCTATATCAGCAGTTATGGGCACAAAGAGAGTACCGTTCCCAAGCAAGGTGTTTGATGTCGTCCACTGTGCACGCTGTAGAGTTCCATGGCACGTTGAAGGTGAAGCTTTTAGTGGGTCCCTTCTTTTTTCATGTCTCACGCGACAGTTTAATGGCGATTAATGCATGTCTTAGAAAATTGCAGGTGGCAAGCTTCTGTTAGAGTTGAACCGTGTATTGCGGCCTGGTGGTTACTTTGTATGGTCTGCGACTCCAGTGTACCGGAAGGTTCCTGAAGATATCGGCATTTGGGAAGGTGATTTTCATTACTTCATCATTTTTCTCCCATTCGCTAGCAAAGTCCCAAGTCATGAATTGATTTCCCATCCTCTGCCGATTTTTGTGCAGCTATGTCAGAACTGACAAAGTCAATGTGCTGGGAGCTAGTGGTAACTAATGAAGACTCATTGAACGAAGTAGGGGTAGCAATATTTAGAAAGCCAACTTCCAATGATTGCTATGAGAGTAGAACACAGAACGAACCACCAATGTGCAAAGAGGCTGATGATCCAGATGCTGCCTGGTAAAATCTATTATCCATTACCTACTTCGCAGTACTCTTTTTGACACATTTTCAAGTGCGTTGCATTTACATGTTTTTGAGTAAAAATCATTCTAGAAGCAACTATGCCATATAATTTGGGGCAAAGGGAGTAATATCACAATCGAGTTGTGATTTCAACAAAAGAAAAAGAAGTCTACAGAAGCAACGTAAGGTGTGTCATAGGTTTAGTTATTGAATTTTACAACAAGAAAAACGATCAAGAATTCTTGTTGAGTGTAGTTTACATAATGCACTTGCGGACATGATGGACATCAACCTTCACAAGTCCTTTCTCATACCTAAAGTAGTGCTGAATATATTGACCGGTCAAACCAAACTAAGCTTATGATTTGTGGATCAATCGACACCATTTGTTCTTCTCAAGAGCTATGATGCACAGCCACTTCTAATGAGAAAAGATGCAATGTTTCTTTAGGAATGACTTCTTGAAAAAACCTCTAAAATATTGGGTTGAACTATTGAAGTGCTAGAAAACCACTCTTGGTCTACCTCTCTCTTATCTTGCATGTACCAACAACTTTTTCTAAAAGTGAAAAATTATTGAGATTCTCTCTAAACATCATATATGTGCATGCCTGCGTGGATGTGAAAGTATGTTCAGAGACTATTCCCATATAGGAATCATTTGTGCAAAGGACCATACTAAAATTAGCTAAATACAAGTCCTTGAGCCAAAACTTGAGGACAAATGGCATTGACGTTAACTATTCTTGATGGCCTTTTCTTTTCCTTGAAGCATACTTTCCACCCTCCCCCTCAATCCGAATCTTATAAATCTTAAGAACCAAGGGTATTTTATTCTAGGACCTCTAAGAGATCTTGTATGGATATACGAAAGTTGATTATGTGTGCTTCCATAGCTAGTGACATTGTGTCCGAATGCAATCAATCTTTTGGCTCAGGAACGTCGAGATCCAGGCATGTATGCACAAAATTCCTACAGATCCATCAACACGTGGATCAAGTTGGCCTGAGGTATGGCCAAAGAGGTTGGAGAAACTGCTTTATTGGTTAAAAAGTTCCCAAACAGGAGTTTATGGTAAAGCAGCTCCAGAAGACTTTGTTGCTGACTATAAGCATTGGAAAAATGTAGTGTCACGATCATATCTAAAAGGCTTTGATATTGACTGGTCATCAGTGAGGAATGTCATGGACATGAGAGCTGTGTATGGGGGGTAAGTTATTTTTTTTTCCTTTGTTTTTTTTTCAGATGCAGAAATTGGATGACCATTGTATGATAATACAAAAACTTACACTAACTGATGAACAATATCTTCTTGTTGAGTTGTTGTCACACTTTGAGAACAGAGGGATATAATAGTTTATAGGTAATGGATAGTATACAACTTAGGAAGAAAAAAAAGAAGAAGCAAACCTGAATTCCTCTGCCAAAAATGTAAGGCTTGGTCCCAAAAATATTCATCATCCATTCTTTTCTGCTAAAAAAATGTACTTTTTTGTTGTTGCTACAAGTCAAAACAAATATTGTGTGAATCCGAGTCTTGATTGCCGCAATTTTAGAATAACGTTCTTTGCACACTTCCTTAAGCCCGCTTACCCTATGTAAGCATATACATCAAAACTCTTATCTGTATTTTACTCCTTGGAATGGATTGGATGCTTCTTCAATGAAAACTAACTCTGGGGTTCTCTCTCTCTCTCTCTCTCTCTCTCTCTCTTCAATGTTGCAGATTCGCGGCTGCTCTCAGAGACTTGAAAATCTGGGTCATGAATATAGTTCCAATTGATTCGCCTGACACACTTCCTGTAATATATGATCGTGGGTTGTTTGGGATGTATCATGACTGGTGTGAATCATTCAGCACATACCCGAGATCTTACGATCTTCTTCATGCGGATCATCTTTTCTCTAATATCAAGAACAGGTCAGGCTAGCTTTTAACACTACACTACTGCATCTATCTTTGCTGCTGTAAAACCTCACTAGTTATGTGAATCTTTTTTTTTTGGGAAAACTGTTAGAGTCTATCCCACATCAGAAGTTGAATAGAAAGTAATCGGTATATAAGCTCTTGAGTTGAGCTAAGTAATCGATTGGATTCAATCTTTTAATGTGGTTCAGCCCAAGTATCTATTCCAGTGATCTCTACCCCATCTAAAAATTCTATCAAAAACAGGTGCGGCATTGTAGCGGTTGTTGCAGAAGTGGACAGGATTCTGAGGCCAAAGGGAAAACTCATTGTCCGAGACAATGCGGAAATGATACTCCAACTGGAGAAAATTGCTCGATCACTCCATTGGAACGTGAAATTTACTTTCTCAAAGGACGGCGAAGGATTGCTGTGCGTGGAAAAGAGCATTTGGCGTCCAACAAAAACAGAGACTGTGCTCTCGTCCTTCGCGTAGTTGCTGCTTCTTTGTTGCCATTGATGGCTGCTACGTCTCGGCGAGTTAGGTATGTTGAATTGCCAGATTCAAAAGTTGTTTGTTTCTGAGGATATGTAAGTACCATAGTACCCCTACACACATTTACACAAATGTTTCATATCAGAATTACTAGCTAATGGTTCTCCAATACAGTGATATCTATGCAAAATGAACCACCTTAGTAAGAACACAGCATTGATTTTGATTCATATTTTTATAGAGAATTGTCAACGTACACGGACAAAAATATGGAAAATTGTCTTTTCATATTAAATACGAAGATGCAGCTCTTGCTTATTACTCCCTCCGTCCCAGAGTATACGCCTGTTTGACTATTTTGAGTCAAATTCGGTTAATTTCAATCTATTATACTCTCCGTCTTCAAAAGTCTTTCTCCTTTCTTTTTTTTTCTTGTCCCAAAATATCCTCATTTCTATTGAAAAATCACTTTTACCCTTATTAATTATTGCCCTATTTATCACATCAGACCTTTTTACTAATAGTTTACCTATCACATTCTATTTTGTCAATCACATCTAGGGTAATTTTGGAAAGTAAACAAAAAATCTCTTTCTTAAATTACATAAAAAACAAAACAAGGAGATTTAGGGAGGGAGGAAGTGCATTAAATTTGTACAGGAAAATGACCAAAAAAAGACTAAAAGATAGCACATAGAACAAAGTACTCCGTAAGAAATTCACGTTTTTATAGCCAAAATTGAAGCTATAATAAATGTCAATAATGCCAACACATAATACCAAAAACATTGTGGAATGTCAATATGCAGTATCACATTGTTGTAGTGTAGTAGTTATATTTTTATATAAAAATATGTCACTCTTATTTTGGGATGAGAGCTATGTTTTGGTCCTACTTTATGTGATTTCTTAATTTGCACTCTGATTTATATATTAATACCATATAATAAATTTCTAACGAGAATTGTGAAGACAAGCGGACGCAGCGTTGCCAGAGTCCAACGAGAACTGTGAAGACAAAGGCCTCCGATTAGGGTGTGTCTCGGCTCGCGCGCCAGCAAGCTTTCGGCCGTGGCAGATCAAAGCCTACAACGGAACGACGGACCCCAAAGATCATCTGTTTAAGTTCTATGCTTCGATGGAGGCGGCGGCAGCCCCGGACGAGGTCAAGTGTCGATGCTTCCTCGCAACACTGGAGGGCTCCGCATGCGATTGGTTCAATCGACTCCCGAAGGGGACTATTGATGAGTGGGATACGCTGGCGGAGAAGTTCCTGACGCACTTCGCGGCCAACAGAAGGCAAAGGTTGCCCAACTCCCACCTCCTCAACATCTGCATTCGCAAAGGAGAGAAGGTCCGAGACTTTATAGTTCAGTGGGAGAAGGAAGCCAGAGACGTGCATGGGGCGGATGACCAGGCCTTGGTGGCAATGTTCCAAGCAGCCCTTCCCCTCGGAGAAGTGAGAAAGAAGCTCCACAAGAATCCACCCCCCACGTACCAGGAAACCTTGGAGCGCGCTAAGTTCTTGGCCTCAGAGGAGTTCGATGACGCTCTCGACTCCGAGGCCGCGCCGACCAAGAGTGCTCTCGCGGACTCGGGAGAGGTCGCGAAGAAGAGGAAGAAGAAAAAGGACTATATTGTGGGCCCTAGGACGCCCTCGGCCGGAGTATACTCAGTAGGGGCGCCGTGGGGATGGGTCGAGAGTTGGCCCTCTCCCCGCTCCCTCACGTGGAGACCTACGCGGTGTCTAGTGGTAGCAAGTACTGTGAGTACCATCGCAACAACACCCATAACACCAAGGAATGCCTCACCCTTCAGAAGAAGATGCAACGGCTGATCGCCCGAGGGCCGGCTCCGCTATATGACGGAGCAGCCCCATCGCGGGGGGCGCCGGAAGGGAGAACTTGGAGGAATCCGGCTGAGCCAGTTGCGGTGGCCACGCAAGCAAGAAACTCCAATAAGAGGCACATCGGGCGAGAATGCGATGATCTAGACGACGACGAAGCCCAAGGATACCCGGTGGGATTTATCCACGGAGGAAACATTGGTGGAGACTCTGTCGCTCAAAGGAAGAGGTGGAAACACATGGCCTTCATTGCCAAAGTCCACCAGGCGACGGTGCCCAAGCTCGGGAGACGAGAACAGATCCAGTTCATGGAGAAGGATCTTCCCAACACGCCGAGCCCCCATCGAGATGCCTTGGTCATGCAGATAGAGATCAACGTTGTCATAGTGCACCGCACCTTGGTGGACATGGGAAGCTCAGTCAATGTAATGTACGAGAAGACCTTCCAAGACCTCGGCTTGAACCGCAAAGACCTAAGGCCCGTGCGCACTTCCCTCTCCGGGTTCACGGGAGACTCCATCGAGGCCGAAGGAGTCATCACAGTGCCCGTGATAGTAGGGGATGGTGCACACAAGGCCAAGCTGAAGATGGAGTTCATGGTTGTAAGATTAATTGCGTGCACAACATGATCCTAGGATGGCCCGGCCTTGAGGACTTGGAATGTGTGATCTCCCCGTATTACTTGTGCATGAAGTTCCCCACTCCTTCGGGAATCGGAGTGGCAAGGGAAGATCAGAAGCTAGCTCGTTCGTGCTACGCCCGAGTCACGAAGAAGCTGCCCAGAGATGAGACGATAGTCGTGCACGTGCAGGAGGAAATGCAGAAGCTGGAAGCACCGCCGAGGAAGTCGAGGAAGTGCCGCTCGACCCTCTGGTACCCGAGCGGAAGGTGAAGATCAAGGCGAGCCTGAATGGAAACCTGCGGAAGCACTTAGTGGACGTGCTCACCGCCTTCCGCGTGATCTATGCATGGGGACCCGGGGATATGCCGGGGGTGCATCCCAAGATCATATGCCATCGATTAGCAGTCAACCTAAAATCCAGGCCGGTGAAGCAGAAGAAGCGATTCCTCTCGTCCGAGCGGAGGGAGTTTGTCGCCAAGGAGGTGGCTACCCTTCAGGGTATTGGGCACATAAGAGAGGTAAAGTACCCGGAGTGGATGGCCAATGTGGTGCTGCTCCAAAGGGAAACACTTGGAGGATGTGCGTGGATTATACCTACCTGAACAAGGCATGTCCCATGGGCCCGTTCCCTCTCCCAAACATCGATCAGCTAGTGGACGAGATGGCGGGGTGCGAGCTCATGAGCTTCATGGATGCCTTCAGCGGGTACCACCAGATCATAATGCATCCCGAAGACGAAGAGAAGACATCCTTCACCACCCCCGGCAGAGTGTATTGCTACAAGGTGATGCCTTTTGGACTCAAAAACGCCGTGGCGACTTATGCTAGAATGGTGAGCAAGCTCTTCGCCCCCGTCCTCGGAAGGAGCATGGAGGCATACGTCGACGACATGATTGTGAAGAGCAAGAAGGCGACCACCCATGCGGAAGACTTGGAGGGAGTTTTTAAGATCATGGAGAAGTACAACCTTCGGCTAAATCCGAAGTAGTGCACGTTCGGAGTTCAGGGCGGCAAGTTTTGGGATACATGGTGAGCCGGCGCGGCATTGAGCCCAACCCTGAGAAGCTTGCGCGCCATCCTTGACATGGAAGCTCCACGAAACGTCAAGGAGGTGCAGCGCCTGACCGGGAAGTTGGTTGCACTCAGTCGTTTCCTCTCTAAGGTGGTAGACCGAGCCATTCCGTTCTTCCAGGCCATGAAGAAGGCCCGGGGGTTCGTATGAACGGAAGAATGTCAGAAATCCTTCGAATCCCTCAAGTCCTATCTCCTTTCTCCTCTGGTCCTCGCGAAGCCCGAAGCCGGGGAGACCTTATATCTATACTTGGGGGTGTCGCCTAAGGCATTGAGCTTGGTCCTCGTGCGGGAAGAAGGCGGAGCCCAACACCCAGTATACTACACGACGAAGACGCTGAGGGGCGCCGAGCTCAGGTACTTAGTGGCCGAGAAGACGGTTCTGGCTGTGGTTTCAGACGTGCAGCGACTAACGCCCTACTTCCAAGCTCACCCAGTCCAAGTACTTTCCCAGCAGCCCATAATTCCACTACTGAGGAGCCCGAATGTGCCCTCCCGTATGTCTAAGTGGGCGGTGTTCTTCAGGGCCTTCAAAATTGAGTTCAAGCCAAGACCAGCGATCAAGGAGCAAGCGCTGGCAGACTTCACCGCTCAGGAAGAGCTGAGCCCAGGAGAGCCCGAAGCCGGTGACTAATTGACGGTTCCTTCGCTGCCAAAAACTCGGGGGGTGGAGTGGTAGTCATCGCTCCCGAAGGATTCAGAGCATATTACTCAATTTGATTCGGCTTCAAGGCTTCAAATAATGAGGCAGGATACGAAGCGCTCCTGTGCGGGCTAGGCCTAGCAGTCGGGATGAACGCGACGAAGTTAAGGGTAAAGTGTGATTCGAAGCTGGTAGTTGGCCACGTGTCCGAAGAATTTGAGGCCAAAGACGAAAGGATGAAGAAGTATAGAGATGCCGCTCTGGAGTTACTTGAGAGCTTCACCGCGTACAGTGTGGAGCAGATCCCTCAAGCGGAGAACGGGACGCTACTCAGGTGCCTCCGACCAGCCGAAGCGGAATAAGTCATGGAGGAATTATACGCTGGGATATGCTCGGCCCACCAAGGGGCATACGCAGTGTCACGAAAGGTAACCCTCCAAGGATATTTTTGGCCAACAATTGTGAAGGACTACACGGAATTCGTGAAGAAATGCAAGGTTTGCCAAGAGTTCTAGAAGGTACCTGGGAGGCCGTCCACAAACTCTACCCTCCATCAGCACAGCCATCCCGTTCGAGCAGTGGGGGTGGACCTCATAGGCGCTCTCCCCAGAGGTACCGGGAACGTGAGATACGTCATAGTGGCAATCGATTACTTCACCAAATGGGTGGAGGCAGCCCCGTTGGCGAGCATAATGGGAGCCCAGTGTCAAAAGTTCCTTGTCAAGCAAGTCATTTGCCGGTTTGGTGTCCCCAGCAAGTAATCACGGACAACGGGACGCAGTTCAAGTCCAAGCCCTTTAACAACTTTCTCGAAAATTGGGGGATCAAACACAGCTATGCGTCGGTCGGGTACCCGCTGATGAACGGGCAGGTCGAGAACGCCAACCGGACAATCATCGACGGGTTGAAGCGGAAATTGGAAGCCTGCGGAGGGAGTGGGCGGAAAAGCTACCTTACATTCTATGGACCTACCAGACCACACCTTGGAGGGCAACCGGCGAGACTCCCTTCGCTCTGTGTGCTACGGGTTCGAGGTAAGGGCACCCGCGGAAATCTACGTCGCAACCCACCGGGAGGAGATCTTCAACCCCAAGCGCAATGAAGAAGCTCTGGCAGCCGAGCTCCACCTCGTGCACGAAAGGCGTGAAGCGGCCTTCATACGGGCAGAGAATTATTGAAGGAAAGTGAAGAGCTACCATGACGGACGAGTTCGCCCGCACGGATTCATCGAAGGAGACTGGGTGTTGCGCAAGAGAATGGTAAGCCGCCCCCTAGAAGGTGGGAAGTTTGCCAAAAATTATGAAGGTCCTTACATAATCAAAGAGGCAGTGGGCCCTTCGACATTCCGATTGCAAACACCCAGCGGAGGGGACGTGCCTAGGACATGGAATTCCGAGAATCTTCTTAAGTTTTATCAGTGAGACTCTATTGTATGTGGATCCCCATTAGGGGAACCGTAAATCCTTTGATTGAACTAAATGGAATGAAGTTTTGTGCGAAGAATAGAGCCCACTTTGGCCATACCCGGATGTTTTTACTGGATGAAGGTCGAACCAACACGCTCGGTGATCCTCCGCAGGAGGGTGGCCGAGCAGGGGCCATACCCAGATGTTTTTCCCAGATGAAGGTCGAACCAACGCGCTCGGCGATCCCCTGCATGAGGGTGGCCGAGCAGGGGCCATACCCGGATGTTTTTCCTGAATGAAGGTCAAACAATCGCGCTCGGCGGTCCTCCGCAGGAGGATGGCCGAGCGTGGATCATACCCGGATGTTTTTCTTAGATGGCGGTCAACCCGACGCACTCGGCGATCCTCCACAGAGCTTTTCTTGAAGCGTGAATCCTTCCTCGTCTTGAAGAGCTTTTCTTGCTTCTAGAAGATGGCGGCGTACGAGCCAGAGTCCGAGTTCGCGCGGCCAAACAACTTCGCCAACCGGAAGAGTAGCAAGAAGAGGGCCAAATTGAGGCGGACCCCGGTTTGTTGGCTGCGAACAAGGAACCCGGCCAAGTAGCAATGGGACTTAGGGACCACTTGGCAGCGGAGGAGGTCAAAGTGAAGAAAGAATTCGATGACCAGCTGGTTAAGGGGAAAGCAGAATCCGTACTCAAGGGACTTGAGGTGGATTGCAAAGAAGCCTGGAGGAGCGTCGAAGACGGAATCCTCGGGAGTGGGACAGCGCACGGTCACGCCCGGAGCCGAGGCAAGGTGCCTCGCCTTGCGGAAATCGTCCCCCTTTAGAGTGCACTTCTGTGCACGGATTCCCGAGTCCTCCAGAGTTGTTCCCCTCTGGTGGCGGGGCTCAGATTGGGATGGGACCTCGATCGCCACTATCTATTCAAGAGAGGGCGTGCGGGAGTCGCTCCCTTGAGCGGAATCTAGGGTTGAGCCCTGAGCGTCCCGCTCGGATACAGAATGACGCACGACCAAGGACTGAGAAGACATTGGAAAACAGAGTGGAGGAAGACTAACCTAGTAGGTGAAGATCCGGAAAGCAAGCAACGGAGCGGCGGAAGGAACGTGAGCGAGACACTACGGCAAGGGAAAACTCCTCTTTCTGTCTCTAAAAGTGAGAAATGAGGAGTGCAGGGCCTATATTTATAGAGGAGGAGACCGAATGGGTGTAATGATGGGCCGCCACTTGGCCCGGGGAGACGAAACGTCACACCCCCTCTTGCTAGGGAAGCCCAAACGGTGCCAATGTCTGCCGATCCATGCGCGTGGGCCCACGCGCCGTCTATGCACAACATCCTTACTCTCGCGTGCTGCATTTCCGGTTGCCAAGGAACCCGAAGAGTGGGGGGCTTGTGATGGAGGGTATCCCCTAGGGTGACGTGAGCTGGGCCCCTCGTCCACGTGGAGGACTGCAGTGCTCGGCCTACGAGCTCGGCCAGTACCTCCTAAGCTCGGCTCGGACCACATGACAACGACGGGAGGATAGCGACCGACGACAGGGTCCTAGCGATAGCGATGGGATGAAAGGGACAAGACAGAGAAGTTGATGACGTCCGCTAAGCGACGAACCTCGGTCAGAGGGCTTTGACCAAGTGTATTGTATCCCCTATAAAAGGGGTGAGACCCCTCATTGTAAAGGATCCGAATTCTAAGTGAATAAACTCATACTTTGCATTCTCTCTCTCTCTCTTTCTAAAACTTATATTTAATATATTTGGTGGTTTATTGCCATCAACCATAATATTCCTAAGAATTTTATATAATTTTCAAAATTTATCTAGACTTAAAAAAATACGGAGTATTAAATTAGACGATGAGTCTGGGGCACAAGTAATCATTACTATCTTTTCGGGTTTCGTCGCCGTTTTTTAGTTATTTTTGCAAATTAAAAAAAATGAAAAATGCTAGGGGTACACCAAAATGGTGTACCCCATTTGTCCCTCGCCCCCTCCATTACCACAAAAATGGGGAAGAGATTTAAAAAAAAAATTAAATAAATAAAAATGGATTAAAAATGAGTGGTGGAGAAAGGGGTGGGAGACAAATGGGGTACACCTTTGGTGTATCCCTAGCATTGCTCTTAATCTTGTCTTACAATCTTTTTCTTCATCTTGAAGTTTATGCATCAAGCCTGCCAATTTCGGTGTACACAATGACAAATAATGAACATTTTCAAATTATTATTCCCCCTGTCCTAAAAACTTCTCTTGTTTTGACATTTTTTTGGTTAAACGCTGATACTTTTTTACTATAAATTGTAAAAAAATATATGTTAAATGATAATACGAAAATTATAATTCGATTCATCTTACTATATTGTTTTGATGTATCAAATTTTTATAATATTTATCTATTTAGAGTATATTTAATTTATGTTCAAAGAATGCCCTTAATTAATTAAAAAATTGAAAACAAGAAGAGTTTTTAGAACAGAGGGAGTATATAGTTTGGGGTATTAACCCTAGCAATTCTAGTTGAAATACTAATATTAGGGTCCGTTTAGTATACGGAATTGATGGAATTAGAATTAAATTGGAATTGAAATTCCATGGGATCAATTCCAATTCATTTTTTTGCACTACCAATTTCAAATTCACATAATTTTTGTGCTACCAAACACAAGAGTTTGAATTGAAGTTCTCAATTCCAATTTCATAGTTTGAATTTCGTATATCAAATGGGGCCTAGGTCTCGCTTGCGTTGCACGGTCTATAATTTGGGGTAATTTATGGTTTAAGTGTATTTAAATTACATTATAAAGAGATCACAAAAAAATTACTTTATTACATTGTCAACATTAATACTTAAAGCCACTAGTTGTGTAACCATATTGGAATGTGATCCCATTTCACCTCTTTAACATTAGACTATACTAGACTCGTTCTGGTATATGAATAAATTTTGGAAACATGTCTGGAGTATGCCAAGAAGTATATCTTAAATTTGTAAATTAAGGCCTTGTGCAAATTAAAAATTGTGGCCCTATATGACTTCATAATTGAAAATTCAAATGTTTTAGAATGTTTGTTCATTTTAACTTTTTTCGAATTAAATTTAACAAATCATATTAAATTTGTAGGACATACTAATACAATGAAATAAATTTTCAAAAAATTTCCACAAGATAAATCTAATAACTTGTGTTCATGCTTATATTCAATATGAAGTACAATATTTATATTAATTATGAATAAAAATTGCCTATTTAGACTTAAAAAACTCAAAGTATATAAATAATCTCATATGAAACAAATAACAATTATATACAGAGTACTTTTTACAATGAAAATGTACAATAAAATCTGATAATGGACTAAAAATTTACATAAAAACATCTTCATTATAACTTTTTTTTAACGTTTCTTTATATCGTTTGATTCTACATAGATTAGGTTAATGATTAATTCTTTCAAAAGTACTCCGTCATTTCTAATTAAAATGAAAAATAATGTTCTTATTGATTGGTACTCCGTAATGTAATTAATAAACAATTTTTCCTTTTTTATTGGATTTAAAAAAATAGTTACTAAGGCATGTTCTTTAGGATTGAAAAAAAGAGCTGAATGTTGGAAGAAACTGGAAGAAACTGGAAGAAACTGGAAAAACTGAGAAAAATTAAAAGAAACTGAAAAAACTTGAAAAAATTGAAAAATCTTTAAAAAAAAATTTAAAAAAATTTATGTGTGGTTTTGTCTTTAAAATAAAAAAATATTACGAGTATTATTTTTCATATATAAAAAGCTAGTTTAAAAAAATAATTAGAATATAAAATTAGCATAAATATTACACTTCTTGGGTCATTTTTTTCTTTTTCAAAATGTAGTTTTCTCTTGGTTTTCATAATATTATTCTTCCAGGACTTTAAATGTAATTTACCATATATAAATTTAGATTAAAAAATATTCTATATAACTATTTATCTATAATTTTTTAAATAATTTCCTAATTTTTCATGTAGAATAATATACATAAAAACGGTATTATTCATATTAAAAAGTTGAAAAAACTGGAAGAATGAATGTGAATCATAAAAATAGTGAAATGAAAAAATGAAATACTCTCTCTGTCCTAAAACTTTCTTCCCACTTCCCCTTTTTCTCCGTTCTAAAACTACCTTCCCATAAGAAAAAAAGAGATGACAAATGACATTAATACCCTCATGTATTTACACCAATTATCTTCTAACTCTATATTTTGAATAATTGCAAAAAAAATTCAAAAAATCTTTTTTAAGGAGGGTAAAATTTGAAGTCAAAGCCAAAAATTAAAAATGGGGAAAAGTTAAATTGGGAAGAAAGAATTAGGACGGAGGGAGTAATTTATAAACTATAGTTATGAACATAAAAGTTGTAATTAAAAAAAGTTGTAATAATAATAATAACAATATATTTTTTTAGAGTGATTTGTCAGAAAGTAGAATGAATTTGAAGAAAATAAATATAGTTGGAAAAAATTAGAAGAAATTGAAAAAAACTGGAAGGAACTGGAATAAACTGGAATGAACTAGAAAAAACTGGAAGAAACTGAAAGAAACTAAAAAGAACATGAAGAAACTAGAAGTTAAAAATTCAAGATCTTAAAAAAAGGCTCTACACAAAATGAAATAAATAAGAATCTAAAGAACGGAAGAGAAAATAAAAAAAGGGAATGACGAATGATTACGGATTAAGGAAAGCATGGAAGATTTAGGGTACTGACAATCTAAAAAATTTTGGGCCCTCGGTTTTATTGTACCCTGTGCGATTGAATATGCGCACAAGTCATGGGCCACTGATGAAAAGATACACCAACATTTTACACTAGCACAAAATCTTACGTTTTTGAGTATTTGTCTAGTTTTAACTTTTTTTGGATCAACTATTTTTAATATTTGACCTATAATTAAATAAAATATATATTTTATTTTAATGGAATAAAATAATATTTTGAAAATATTTAAAGTAAAAAACAACTACAATAGTAGGAAATTATAAAAACTCATCCAAATAAAACATTTACATCAATTAATGACTTTTCCATGCCCGGCAGTACTGTGCGACTCATCTTCATCATTCTCATCTTTTATTACATAATAACAACTCTAATATTTGGAGGCAACAAGAAAAAAATGGCTGCAAGGGAATACATAGATTTTTGTAGGCACATGAATTTCGTGCCAACGTCTGTGTCTATGATATATGTAGTGAAATACGTACAAAGAAGTTGTTAGTTTACAGTGCAATAATTTACTTCATTTACGGAGTATATAAGAGAACCACCTCATCCAGAAACATCTATATATACATATATATAATGGTAAGAGGCTAAAATAAATAGTGTTCCTGAAAGAATTGATTTGGAGAGAATTCTCTTGTATTTTCTGTGTCTATAATTTACAACCAAGGCATGTATATATAGGTTCTCACAAGTCGAGAATCCTAACTAAACAAGGAAAGGATATCCCTATACAAGTAAACTACCAATACAAGGAAATTACCAAAACTAATATATACGAAAAAATATTCAAATATTCTCTTTCCTTTTACACCACCCTCAAGTTGGAGCATGTAATGAAGAAATGCTCAACTTGGGAATAAGAAACTCCAGTCGTGACTTCCCAAGCGCCTTCGTATGAATGTCTGCAAGTTGATGCGTAGTAGGGACATGCAACATGCGAATCTCTCCTCGTAAAAGTTCATCACGAACGAAGTGACAATCAATCTCAATATGCTTCGTGCGTTCGTGAAAAACTGGGTTTGCAGCAATGTGAAGAGCTGCAGTGCTGTCACAACGAACAGTCATAGGGTTCTTATGCTCAATTCCTAGACATCGCAATAAATTCTTCAACCACTTCAACTCACACGTAAGAACAGCAAGAGCTCTATACTCAGCCTCAGCAGACGAACGAGCCATTGTTGTCTACTTCTTTGTCTTCCACGAAACATGTGAGTCCCCAAGTTGCCCAAACCAACCTGTCAGCGATCGCCGTGTCAAGGGACATGCTGCCCAGTCCGAATCACACCATCCTGTGAGCTGAAGACTATTATCTGCAGACAGGAAAATACCCTGCCCAGGACATCCCTTCAAATAACGGACCACCCCAAGTGCCGCTGACCAGTGATCCTCCCTTGGTTCCTTCAGAAATTGTGCTAAAGTATGCACTGCATAAGAAAGCTCCGGTCGTGAAACAGATAAATATACCAACCGTCCCACCAAAACGGCGATATGGTTCCGGATCTGTCAGAAGAGGAGCTTGGGAACGAGCCAAATGATGGTTGGGCTCCATGGGTGCACCACTGAAAGATAACCATGCAAGAATAGGCAGCGGAATATAAAAATTTTAACATCCTAACATGATTATCTTGCCCAGAATCACGTACTAAAACTTATAGTGAGTAAGAAATTTATACCTTTCTCCGTAAGCGGTAAAAACGAAGAAGTCGTAGGAAGAGCGTTGAAAGTGCAAATGTAACCGTTCAAGCGTCCGGTCTCCAACTTTGACACACGAACAACGCCGGAGTCTACCACAATCTTTATGCTAGTAAAGATTATAGTAGTATAAAATATAAAGATTAAAATTTGGGATAATAATAATCTTGTATATTTTTATAGAAAATATTATAGATATTTTCTATACACAAAATGATATTAATGGAATATAAATGAAATTTTCTCTCACTAGAAAATATTATGGCCAAAAGTGTAACACCCTAATCCGTCCAGGTCTGCAACCCCTTTCGAACTAAAGTATTAACTTGGTAATCGTAAAATTTAAAACATTTCAAAATACTTTTATTCAACATAAATATTATTTAATACATAACTGTAGCAAAATACGGAGTGTTTAACAATAGTGCGGAAGCAATTTAAACCATGTTTAATAACAACACAATTATTTATTTTAAAATCACAAATTCCACCACGATAGTCTCGCCCCTTCTGCTGCCAGGAACATGCCAATCATTCATTCTGCCTACTTGCGTGTAGCAAATAAAACATACTACACGCTCAGCGATGAAGCTGAGTAAGAATATCTAAAGCGTCGAACATCCACATAAATTGAATCTCAATTCACAAATAACCATTTGATATCATACACACAATATATAATCCATTCATGATATTCTTAATATTTTTATTTCAATATCTCAATATTTCATATTCAATATTCAATATTCAATATTCAACAATATCCTTAAACTATACTTAGTCTAAGGCCAATTCCATTCTTAAACTGATTCTAGTTCAAGATATCCTAATCCTTAAGCTAGGCCTAATTTAAGATATATTTTAAAAAGAGTTTTTCAAATCTTAAACTTACCTTCGCTTAAGGTCAACCAAAAACCGACAGCGTAGTGTTCACTGTTGGGTTGGGTGGTACCCCCAAACAAGTAGGTACTCAAGTTTGGTTCTTGGATCCCGTACGTACGTTTTAACCCTTGTAACACCCTAATCCGTCCAGGTTTACAACCCCTTCCGAACTAAAGTATTAACTTGGTAATCGTATAATTTAAAACATTTCAAATAACTTTATTCATCATAACTGAAATTCCAAACATAATTGTAGTAAATACGGAGTGTTTAATGCGGAAGCGGTTTTTAAACATGGTTCATAATAACAGAATCATTTATTTTCTCAATAAATCCACCACGACTGTCTCGCCCCTTCCGCTGCCAAGAACATGCCATTCACTCATTCTGTCTACCTGCGTGTAGCAAATAAAACATACTACACGCTCAGCGATGAAGCTGAGTAAGCATATCTAAAGCGTCGAACATCCAAATAAATTGAATCTCAATTCATAATCAACCATTTGATATCATGCACACAATATATGATTCAAACATTCATGATATTCTCAATATTTTATTCCAAGTCATTCGATATTCAATATCTCAACCATGCTCTTAAATTATTCTTAATCTAAGGCCAAATCATTTTATAACAAGCTCTTAGCTATTCCTAGTCTAAGGCAACATTTCTAACCAGGCCCTTAAACTATAAATAGTTTAATGCAGAACACAAGAATCGATAATCCACCCTATGGGTCATGTGGATTACGTACCAACCGAACAATGATTTGTCGGGTGGGTGATATCCGGTCTGGATCCCGTACGTACGTTTTAACCCCGAAATATGAATTGGTCAAGGAGGTATATCTTAGAGTTCTTCTAGTTATCCTTAATAAATCATCATCATTATACAAGTGGGTATATCTTTAGAGTTCTTCTAGATATCCTTAACAACAGTATTCATTAATTCATATTCTTAGTTCAACAATCATTTAATAATCCATAATATTCATCAAATGAACAATCTAATAACAATCAGCGGCCTAGCATCGA